ACTTATGCGACTGAACTTAGAATGAAACTCTAAGCTGCCTACGTACCTCGGTGAAGAGTATCAAGTCATACCATAGTTCAGACTGGGTAGATTCCTACGTACCTCGGTGAAGATGATCAAGTCATACCATAGTTCAGACTGGGTAGATTTTTTTTTTACGTCCTAACTTTTACCTAGGCCGCCTCTTTTAAGATTTTCAACCTAGCGGACTTTTTTTTTGGGTCGTACGCAGTTTATCTTCTTGCGGGCCAGGAGTGTGGCAATATGCAGTTTAAGCTCATGCGTCAAGGAGCATCATGACTTGCAGTTTAGGCTCGTACGTCGAGGAGCGTTTCAACTTCAAAGATAATACTTCTTCAAAAACTTGCCATTGATAGGGCCGATTCTCATACCATCTGTATCAAACAGTTTGTAAGCCCCACTTGAGTAAGCTTCTTGTACGACATATGGCCCATCCCATTTTGAAGTGAACTTCCCTACAGGTTTATGGGAAGTAATTATGGGTCTTCGTACGGTAAGGACTTGATCTCCTACTTGAAAGGATCTCGGACGAACTCTTTTATTGAAGGCGCGAGACAATCGAGCTTGATAACATTCAAGACTCTGTTGAGCTTCCAATCTTTTTTCATCAAGAGCTTCCAACTCTGCTAATCGAAGTCGAGCATTTTCTTCGTCAGTGATCCCTTCTTGAATAGCCAATCGTAACGAAGGTATTTGATGCTCAAGTGACAAGACGGTTTCGACTCCATAAACGAGTGAATAAGGAGTCGCCTGTGTTGGCGTGCGATGAGTCGTTCTATATGCCCATAGAGCTTCTTCCATACGGTCATTCCAATCTCGTTTGGATTTGGAGACAACTTTCTTTAACAAGTTGCATAGAGTCTTGTTGAATGCCTCAACTAGACCATTAGCGACAGCGTTGTACATCGAAGAGTTACGTTGCTTGAAGCCAAAGAGATCACAAATCTTGTTCATCAACATACTATCGAATGACTTTCCATTATCCGTTATTATGTAACAAAGAATGCCAAGCTCCTCGTAACTGGTCCGAAGCTTCCAAAGGTGACATCGAGGATGTTTTCCACATCAGCATAGAACCTAGAGTTAGCAAACTTGGTGGATGTTGATCTGGAGTTGATTTTCTTCGAAGCCATTTCAATATTCTTGAACTTTGGTGATTGAAAAGTTGAGATGAGAGGTAGAGATTGTCCCACTGGGCGTGCCAGAATTTGTAGACAATAAATTTGGTTCTAAAAAATAAAATCAAGACCGAAAAATATCGCAACAATCGTAGTATTTTATTTCGAATATTATGAGTGTACAATCTCTATGAATCCTCTGATTCTACTTTTCAATAGTAAATAAATTCAAGGGCCTTTGAGCTTGATCTTGAATATGTATTTGTTGCCTCGAACGATGATCTTGTTCTTGAGCTTGAGCTTGATTGCTTGAACTTGACCTTGATTTGTTCTTCGTTCTTGAACTTGCACTTGATTTCTTGAATTTGAACTTGAAGCCTGAAACTTGTAGAGGAATTTGCAGCGTTTGATCCATGAGCTCTTTCTTGCTTCTTGTTATAACTTCTGATAGTTTTTCTGAGTTATGAAGACCCTTATTTATAGTTGTGGAAGGGAAGAGTTGTGATAAGAACAAACTTTTTCCGACCAATCAAATTGAAGTGTTACATGGCTGCATTTGATTGTCCAGAAGATGTCACTTGCACACATGGCGCGATTTCATTGGCCTTTTAGCGTGACTGGACATGCCTTGTCATTTTTGACACGTGGTGTGGTCCTATTGGCCCTTCCGCTTGACTTGGCTCGCCACGTCATTTGACACGTGGCACCAAACTGGGCCTCTAGGAAGATGACATCTTGGGCTTAATGAAGTGGGCTCATCGCTTTAGCTCAATTAAATGAGCTAGCTCAATGGATTAAGACTTATTTATTTAATCCATATATATTGGACTTATATAACTAATTCAATTATATTAGCCCAATAATATTTATTTGGACCAATATATCTTGAATTTAAAATATAATCCAAAGTATTTTATGGATTTAATTCCAATGAAATTTATATGCCTACAGTACTGTTATTCAAAATTATAGCTGGTTTTATATTAGAATCCATACCTTAAGATTGATTATAATAAATTTTTCTGGTGTAACTTGTTTTTTGACTATTGTTAATGATTGGATAAATTAGATACTATTTAGTTCTGTTCGTATGGTTATGAGAGCTCCCCNGTACTCTTATAGTTTGTTTATTTGTTTTGTTTTTTAAGATTAAGATTTAAGATATTTGAATCGACATAGAAATTTTTATTAAGATAGGTGTATCTTTATTTTCGTTTAAAATTCAATAAAATATAAAGTTTAAATAAAATAGTAATTAAATATAATATCCACAAAATGCAGAGATTATATTAATCTAAACAAGCCTTTTTTGCTACTATACATGTTCTCTATAGATTGAAATTCACTTTCAATTACAAGAGAGATCAATCACGAGAAGAACATCATAAAAAGAAGGAAGAAAAGACTTTGTTTTAGGAAAAAGGAAAATAAGACTTAATACTTACAAGTTACAACTTCACATGATTTTCTGAAAGGCATAAAATAAAGAAGAATACTTCCTCGAGAGAATATTCAGCAAAAATTTCATGAGGTGCGTATTTGGTCTCTTCCATTTAATCTGAAATTATTTTAATACCTAATTGATATACTCTTCTCTTTTTCTTCGTTGCTACTTTCTTTCATGTCCTGTGTATCCAGGAGTTTCGTTGGTGCTTTCTTCTTTATCGTCTTAGTTGTAAAAGTTGTAGGTTGTGCTTAAGGTTTCTTGTTCTTCTTCTTCTTAGTTGCAAAATATGTTTGTTACATTTGTTATTGCTTTGACAATTTGATGATTGAGATTTATTTTTTATGATACTTGAAAGTTATGTTTCAAATTTGAGCTCATGGAGTTGAATCGTGTGTTGAATTGTTGAATTCAAAGATAAGTTTATGTTTAAGAACTTAAGATCCGATTTTTTAAGTTGCATTGAAGAGATAAAACTATTTAAAATCCAAAATTTCGGAAGGAACATTAGAAAAATAAAATAACTTAAGATCCCTTTTTCTGAAGTTGTATTGGAAAGACAGAAGAACCTTAGATCGATTCTGAAACTACGTTAAAAATATAGAAGAACTTCAAATTCTGGTGCGTAAACTTTGTAAATTATCGTGGAGTTTTTTTTTTACCAAAATTGTCCCTTAAATATAGGGGTAGGTCTAATTTTGTCCTTCATATTTTATATTGAGCACATGTAGTCCTTTATTTTTGCTAAAATGGAGCACATGTATGCTAGTTAACAGCAAAGCCCAATAAAAGGCACAAAACTGACGGCCCCATCCCATGTGCAGTGCACATGACAGTAGAAACATGAGCCTAATATAGGTTGTCTTAGCCGTAATATTATAATTTGCTTGGCTTTTAAATTACTCATGGGGTGAGCAGAATTTTTTTGATTCCTAACCTATAAACAGTTTCAAGAACAATAAAGGAGAAAAGTGTTGTTAATAATTCCTTTTAAGATAAGAACTGATGGAATAGTTTAATTCTGCCCATTTTTTGAACTGATTATGTCACTAGTCATGCTAATCCTTCATTACACGTTGTAAGATTTTTTTTTTTCATAGTGACAAAAATATTCGAAAATTACTTTAGGACATAGATGTTACACTCTAATATATTAATTGATAACATTTATTCTTATTATATATTCTATCACACATAAAATAATATAAAGATCCAATATAATTTAATGTAAGTACTATTTAATATCGACAATTAAGCACTGCAATAATTATGCAAGGAGTATTTTCTTATACAAGTAACCAAATAATACGTAAGTATACAAAAATTATTTTTTACTCTCAGTTGTGTCGTTTTATGTTGAAATTACTTTTTATATTTTCTTATTTTAACTTAACGTCATTAGTATTTTATAGCAATATATTTTTATTTTTACTATAATTTTCACTTATTTTTCTCTACTTTTATTTTGAGTATAATAATTTATATTCATATTATGATATAGTTTATTTTAATTAGTTAGAATTGATTTTATATTTAATAAATTATTTTAAACTATTTTAAAATGAAAGGGTTTAAGCTTTTTAATTGATGGATTTAAAGAGTTACAAATCCCAAATGGTAGGCCCAATTTCAGATTTTTCAAGCCCAAATTTCCCTTAGCCTACACCCCTTTCCCCTTTAACCCGCCGGATCCACCCCTGACTCGCCCTATCTCCATTTTTATTTAATCGGGAAAACTACCTGGCTAAGCACTTTTTAAAAATTATTTAAGAAAATGATATCAAATTTTGTTTATTTCATAAATATCAGATATTTTTACACAATTATTATATTGTAAAGATTATGTGACAGTTAATTAGTCAACACACGGCACAAATCATGGGATTGTCTTTTATTTTCATACTCTCTCCTCTCATCTTATATTTTAAAATTGAGAATTTTTCATAAAGAACCATCTTTTAGGTCTAATTAGTCATTTATAGATATCCTTTGCTATGTTACGTGTTATAGATACCTTTTATGTTTTTATACAATGTATTTTATGTATTTAAGATGTTGTATTCATTAATACACCAAAAAAAATAGGCGTAAAAACAGAAATTTCAGCTAAGTCTGATATGTATTTAGCTGTATTTAAGCGGCATTAACATGAAATACAGTAACGTATCTGCGCAAAATCTGGAAGGTTAAACTAGTTAAAAATGGAAGAAAATCAAATCACATGATATTCTCCTAAATTAACTCAACGAACTGAAACTAGTACACATTAATATGTATTCTGCTCAAAGAAAGCAACTCAGAAACGTGAATACTGCGAAAAAACAGAGCAACATCTGATCGAACTTCTTCCATTCTCTTCTCCTTTATTTCGATTGATACAAATTATATACAAAACAAGGTATTCATCCTATATACAAATGGCAAGTTTAACAGTTTTGTTGCGTCATTCTGGCAAGTGGAACGATGAGGGCAATTACATCGATTTTTCAATTGAGGGAATACCGATAAAGGAGTATGCCTCCTTTAATGATCTGATTGCTTCAATTTCTAATCAACTGGGTATAGATTTGAGCTCAAAGACCATTAAAATACAATACAAAGTAGAAGAAAATTGTACGCCAATGGAAATACACAATGATATGGGTTACAGAGTGTATGTAGAATTGAAAAAAGAGAACAGAGAATTTGGGATGTATCCTTTGTGCATAACAACTATTGAAAAAGATCTTATATCCGGAGGTAGTTTAAATCAAGGCGACATTGTGCAAAATAGACGAAGGAGTTCAAAGGTACGATTCCGATACAGATGATACACTGGCTCTAGATTTTGTCAATTCAGGAGAAGCGATTGGAGTGTTTGAACTCCATAAGGATTTGATAATTTCAAAAACTGATCAAAAGGAGGTTATGACTGGACAAGTTTATAAGGATAAGGCTACATTGAAAGAGGTGATGGAGAATTATGCTATAGCTCAAAGGTTTCAATTGCGGATTGATAGGTCTAATGCTGTCAGGTTTGCATGTATTTAAATTTTTTTTCCGTTGTATTTTCGATTATTGGTTCGAGCTGTAAGTTTAACGTCATTGTATTTATGCGTATTTGTGTATTTCCTCTTGATGATCACAGATGAAGTAAACATATGCTTGTTTAGGGTCCTTAAATACATGTATTCATATGTATTTTATTGGTATAAATACACAACAGTGGCTCTAATTATTTTCTTATTACGTCTACTATGGTATTAAGTGTATGCATATACAAATAAGTGTATTAAGTTATATTCATTGTATTCAAACGCATATAACTATAATGGAATTCAGTAGTATAAAAATTTATATATATAGATGTCAGGATGTATCTATGTCAGATTGTATTTGTCTGTATATGAGCTGCATTTTTTGTAAACACTTATGCTAATCAAATGTAAAATAATTAATTCTTTGCAGCTATGCATTACTATGTATTTCAGAAGATTGTGAATGGAGGTTTAAGGCTTCAAGCATTAACAAATCAGAACTATTCAAAGTGAGAGAATTCAATGATAACCATACATGTCTGCCGAAGGACAAGGTGTATGAGCAGCGGCAGGTTATAAACCATAAGTGGAAATACACTCCAAGGGATATTATTGATGATGTGAAATCAGATTTAGGTGTAGATGTTAGCTACATGTTGGCGTGGAGGGCTAAAGAAAAGGCAATGAATTTTTCGAGAGGTGAACCGGCTAATTCATACAAAAATTTACCAGGATACTTATATACAATGGATATGACATATCCAGGTTCCCACATCAGAATGGTAAAATCGCCAAAAAATGACTTCATGTACGTGTATATATCCTTGTATGCCTGTATAAGGGGGTTTGATCATTGTAGACCCATTGTTGTTGTGGATGGAAGTCACCTAAAATCTTACTACACCGGGACATTCGTTTCGGCAAGCACGTTGGATGGTGCAGGTGAGTATCTGAATTATAATACAATCTGTTAATATTTTTAAATATTGAAATACATGTTTTAAAAATAATTATATTCAATTGTATTTACAGGTCATATATTGCCACTAGCATATGGTGTTATTGATTCAGAGAACGATGCTGCTTGGACGTGGTTCTTTGAGCAATTCAAGATAACATACGGTGAAAGGGAAAACATGTGCATAATTTCAAATAGAAATGAGAGTATCATTAAATCTGTATCGAGAGTGTATCCAGATGTACCGCATTTTGCTTGTATTTGGCATCTATAGAACAACGTATATAAGAAATTCAAAAAGAGCCATGCCAAGTTGAGCGAGATATACTTCTCGATGGCAAAAACATACACACAAGCTGAATTTGATAGTCTGATGGAGAAGGTGGAGAAGGTAGATATTACGGTGAAAGAATACTTAGAGTTAGTTGGTTACGAAAAGTGGGCTAGGTTGTATGTACCTGTTAACAGGGGATGGATAATGACGTCAAACATTGCTGAGTCAACCAATGTCGCACTAGTTTCAGCAAGGGAATTGCCAATATACAACTTCCTCGAAGAAGTTAGGAAGATGTTTGGACGTTGGAATTGTAGTAACCGCAAAGAAGCTACACAGACATACACGGCGCTTAGAAAAAAATACAAGGAGATGCTGACTTTGAATGAGGCAATGTCTACACGTATGACTGTAAGTTATATTTTAATGTCATTGCTGTATATAGCTTAATTGTTACTGAATTAATGGCATGAATACAACTAAATACAATGATTTTTTAAGTAGAACTACCATTAATACATATGAATACAACTATATTCAAACTCATAAAAGATATATTTTTTCGTAGATCTGATATGAATACAACTGAATATAACTAAAAACATGCTGCAAAAACTGTTGGAATACATCAGAATATAACTAACAAAGCTGTATTATATGTAATTTTAATATGTATTGTCAATACGTATGATTCTAATGCTTTTGTTAGCATCTTGTTGCCTAAAGTACAACAGAATTTTGATAAGTTCTACACTAATTACAGTTGATATTCTGCTGGTCTAAATATTTGATGTATTCATCTATATGCCAAAATTTCAGTTGTATGTAACTTATTAATTCAGCATTATACATTTGGTAATTCAGGTATATGTGCTCAAAACTTATATTTCTATTTTTAAATGTAGGTGGTACCATCAACTGAATACTTACATACGGTTAACGATGGTGGGAGGAATTACACAGTCTGCCTGTTAGAGAGAAAATGTGTTTGTGGGAGGTTCCAAGTTGATGAATTGCCATGCCCACATGCTTGGGCTGTATTGAAGAGCAAGTTTCTAATGCCAGAAGAATATTGCTCTAACTATTACAAACCAAATACAATTGTAATGACATACGATGTACCAGTGTACCCGCTACCGGACAGAAATGACTGGAATATACCAGAACATGTGGTAGGGGAGGTTGTATTATCACCCAAATGGAAAAGACCTCCTGAAAGACCAAAGAATAAGCGCGATAAAACTTTAAGAAAATTGTTGCAACCGAAAAATCAACATTCATGTAGCATATGTGGGTAGGGAGGACATAACAAGCGAACATGTAGAAATGCTCCACGTAATAAATAGTTAACACTCTGACATGTATTGGTGCTTCAACGATTTATCAATACTTATGATGACATTGTCAAGTAATAAATTCTCATTGTCAAGTAATATATTCTGAAATGACTTTCGTGAATAGTTTCTGAATACATATAGTTGAAGTATTTTTATACAGATAAATACATAAGTACTATACAGTTGAGTATAACTGAGTATAGATGAATACTAAAAAATACAACTGGATACAACTGTTGTATTTTTATGAATAATATAATTGAGTAGCACTAAATGTAAATGAATACACCAAAATACAACTGAATACAGCTGAATAATACACTTAAATACAACTAACTACTGTTGAATAAAACAAGTTGAATACAACTGAGTACATTTGAATACAATTGATTATGTACAACCTGTTTAATACATCTGAAATTGTGTTCTTTAATATGTGTTATCTGAACTTGAAAGATACATCTGAATGGATGTTGCTGAATACAACTGAATACAACTGAATCCAGAAAAAAATACATCTGAATTCTTTTATATAACCTACCATCAGCATACATAAAGTTTCTGACTTTGACATTAACATGTTCATTAATTAAAACATGTTCAAGCAAAGTTGCTAGGTATTAACACATACTTGAATCCTGTAAGATAAATATGTATTCAAACTGAAGAATAAGCATGAATACTTATGAACAAACCAATGAAACAGTGATTGAAAAGTTGCAATTGTCATACACGAACACTGTTGATAAAGTGATAAGTTTTTCAAACTAAATACCATTTACACCAAAAACTACTCAAAATAGTATTCATCTTGAAACTACACTCCAAAACTACAATAACCTAAAGCTACTCTAACACTATCTGCATCCTNTTACTCTAACACTATCTGCATCATTGAATCTGACTCCATGATTTGCCTAGCAATCTTTGAAGGTGCTTCATTCTCGCTTATGGCATCAGTGTCTATCTTCCGCATAGTATAGTCCCAGAGGAGAGCACCATATCTTTGACGGAGTAGAGTGGAATCAAATGTTGTTTGTGAAATCTCTCCAAGAGTGCTCAGAAACTCTGTGTATGCTGCAACATGCACCCCACAATCCCTAAAAAAGAATTGATTGAAACAATTAAAAATAATTCATACAATTAGATTTGTATATAACATACAATAACGATGCTTGAATACTTACATGCTACCAGCTTTCTGTTGAGGCAGATCTGAAATGAAAAAAACTTCAAAGGGATCATTATGTGACTTGTCAGTGTATGATGAGTAAGCAGACCAATCTATGCCTTGACTATCTCTGTAAAAGCCACTGATTGATAGATACAGAGGTACAAGCTTAGCTAGCTTATCAATCTCAGAAACTACATAAGCATCATGACCTGCAGATCTGTATGAGTCATACACTTTGATACATCTCTCCTTGAGTGATACAACAGCTAATACCCAGTGTAGTTTGTCCTTCAAGTTGACTGGTATCATGACATTATCCACAATATGCCAAGGTACATTAGCATGCAATATGTAGCCTCTTATGTACTCACATACCACATCCTCTTCTTTGGCTACATTAGCATTACTATCTGTATCAGCATACCTGTCGAATATTTCAGCAATTCTTGTCTTAAATATACAATCAACAGTTGTATACTTGAAGTTGCTTGTTTGATTGTACTTTTCCTTCTTTATCAAATAGTAGAATATGACGTCAATATGTTATACACAAAGTTAAGTACATGGTGTGAGTCCAATTAATCAAACTATTAAAGAATATAGCTGAATACAAAGGAATACATATGAAAAATACAATTGAATACAACATATTGTATGTGAATAAAACTGTTGACTACAACTGACTACAGCTTACTACAGCTGATTAAAACATTTGAATTCAACTGAATATAGTTAAATACATATGAATACATGAGTTGAATAAAGCTGAATACAAATGCAGTTGAATACATCTGACTACAGCTGATTAAAACAGTTGAATTTAATTGAAATTAGCTGAATACGGCTGAATACAAATGTTGAATAAAGCTGAATATAGCAATTGAATACAACTGACTATAGCTGAATACACCAAAATACAGTTGAATACAGCTGGATGTAGATATTGAATAAAGCTGATATAACAATTGAATTCAGCTGACTATAACTGATTAATATAGTTCAATTCAACTAACTATAGCTGAATACAGTTGAATACAACTGAATGCAGATGAATAATACAAATGAATACAGCTGAATAAAACAACATGTTGTTATTCAAAGAAAATTAGTCAGTTAGGGGAAAAAAACTTACGTTGTCATCCCATAGCTTCCTGTCAAACGATAGAAGGTAAAACCAATTTTTTGAATTAAATTGATCAACTCCAAAATTCAATGGTATATGAAGTGTTGACTTGTTCTTCTTGTAATGGTCTTCCAAATTATATCTACAAGTATGGTATAAAAAATATTATATACATTTTTAAAAATATAAAAACTTAATACACATACCGGGGGAAAACTCACCTCTGATCATGTCTAGCGAAAAGATCATCACGAACTCATTTGTCATATTCCTGAATGATTAACGTAGGATGTGGCCCCGTTATTGAATCATCCTCAAAGGGGTGTCTTTTTTCAAAAATGGGGGTCAACTTTACTGAGATACCTGTTGTTCATTGAATTCGTGATTAGAAACTTTTAAATTTAAAAACCATGAGGAAAGCTGAATCTTTAGTTTATAAAAACACTAACCTGCGGAGTCGAAGTTAGACTCATAAGGTGAATAGTACCATCTACTTGGTCGCCGATTCCTATGAGATGGTATTGGAGTTGATTCAGATTTTTTTGCAATGTTGTGAATCACACTTCTAGTTTATGGAATTTGACTGGGAAGAAACTTGTCGTCCAGCTCAAATTGAGATACATAAAATTCTGTAGATACACCCTCTTGACTTGTAGATGGTATGTTGGACGACACCTCTGATGTAGTTTTTCCCTCTCCTCTTGACTCCAAACATTGATCATTAAGCACTTGTTTCTGTTACTTGTATGTATCATTGTTAGTGTATTAACTTAATGTTACAATACAGTTAAATACATATAAGTTTAGTAAGAAAATAGATTTTGGTAATAGAAATGGTAGTTTGAAATACATCACATATATTCAAGAAATACAAATCAGAATATATCAAAATACAACTGAATATGTTTAAATACAGTAGTTGATTCCATTTACATATTAAGGTTAAAACAGATATGAATACAGCTAAATACATGTGTTGGTCGATGCATTTATCAGTTTAGTGAGGCAGTTAAATGCTAGTCGAATACATACAACTTTTATAATACAATTATTTAATTATAACAGCAAGCAGGAGATATAAACAAATGCTCAATATGTTAAGAATGTTAAACCTCAACATTATCTCCGACATCTGTGTCAATGCCATCATCACGTCTCCCTATGGGTTCCTTTCTCTGGTGTAAACTTTCAGTTTGCTGATTTTGTTGAAGATGGTCAGAAAGCTTCTTGAAGTTATCATTGATCAATGTTCTTAGAGACTTGAACTCTCCCACAACCTTAACAATACAAAATAATTAAAAGACTGCACCAAAAATATATGAATACTATTCATTAAACTGTAATGTTTAATTTGTGGTTAAATACTCACATATTCTTTGAATGAATTTAGGTCTTTCCTCAAAGAAGATACTTCGTCATTTTGGGAATCTGGCAGTTGATTGTCATGCAAAACTTTATGTCCAAATTCGGATACACAAATAGGAGGAATCTTGGGTTGATATTCTGCTTCATTGGGATGCCTTTCGTGTTCCTTGCGCTTTTTATGGGGTGGTGATGAAGATGGGCCAACACTTGCAACATGTTTCTTCTTACATTGAAGCTCAGGTATAGGAGAAAAGTCATCTGAATCCTCTCCCGATTTGTCTGAATGAGCAGGAGTAGGTCTCTTCTCAACATCAGAACCTACAGGAGGAATCTGAATAATGACAAGCTCTATATTGCTTGGATTGATGTCCTTGTAAACAATCTGAAAAATGAAATACAATCAAAGTCTTACTAGAAACATACAGATGCAGATCTGGAATACAAACTGAAATTTGTATTGAATATAAGGCAGCACTAATGATTTGGAAATAATATGCAATTGTATGAAGAATTAATAATGAAGGCTACAACAACTATATATTGTTGTATGCATATGAATGCAATTGTATGCATTAGATGTATTCAAATGTATGCAGTTTCTGTATGCATTTGTATACAAGTGTATGCAGCTGTTTATTAGTCCCTATGCATTTGTATACATGTATCTTGAATCTGTATGCAAGTATTTATATCTGTAAGCATATGTATACAAATGTATATTGTTGTATGCATCCCCTGAAAATGTATGCAGCTGATTATAGAAGTAGTATGCAGCTGTATCTTGTATCTGTATGCAGTTGATTATACAAATATTTCTATATGTATGTATTTGTATACAAATGTATTATGTTGTATGCATCCCCTGAAAATGAATGCAGTCTCTTGTATGCAAATGTATGAGTAATCTGGATGCATTTGTATGCAATTGTATGCAACATATTTGTGAGAATATGATAGCTGAAACTATAGCAGGTATTACATCACCAAAAATGTATCTGAATGCAACTGCATACTTCTATATGCAAATGTATGCCTATTAATTATTAATAAGATATAAACTAGCAATGATACAATTTGTATATTACCATGTTTCCGGTGTCATTGAACATGTCATTCATCAGATAAGCAAAGGTTGGCTGATATTCGGTGGTTCTCCAATTGAGTATTCTGGGGACCACATCATCAACTCGAAGTGCAATTTTGGAATCAACATCTTAACATCACTCATAAAACCACACTTGCATATCCAATGACATCCCAGCTATCCTGTAATACTTCTTCTCAGCATCCATCTTCATG